GTTTCTTCAATGCCCATCATCCTTTTGAAGTAATTGGTTCTGCCAGGAAAGGATGTGTCTCATTGTCAAGAAAAGTCCAATTTTTAAAAAACATTTTAAATGCCTTATTCTGTCCTACATATGAAGGACATAGCCTGAGATGTTTTGATCTAAGTGTTTACGTGAAACCCATTCAAAAATACCTACCCCTGTTGTAAGATATTTGATCACACTGAGAACTCTGTGATTTAAATAAAATTAACTGTAGCACGAAATAATAAACCCAGAGACAGATAATGGGGTTCAACAAAAAAACAGAAAAGGAAAGCAGTCAAGGGACTAGAGAAGTTTTACCTCTACCAAGGCTGACTAAGCAGACTAAGCCTCTCTCTCCTCCCATTTTATCTTCACTCTAGTGCTGGGATTAAGGGTGTGTGACTCCCTAGTACTGGAATTAAAGGTGTGAGCCAAGCCATCACCACCTTGTCTTTCTTCTGTGCCAATTTTGTAGTCCAAGGTGGCCTTGAACTCACAGAGATCCGTCTGCCTCTGTCTCACAAATCTAGGTCAAGAGGTGGTACGAGCAACCAGGTGTGACTGGAAGTAACCATAGATAGTGAAAAGAAGTTAGAGAGAGAGAGAGAGAGAGAAAGAGAGAGAGAGAGAGAGAGAGAGAGAGAGAGAGAGAGAGAGAGAGAGAGAGAGAAGCACAGGAAGTAGAAGGGAGGGACATCTGGTTGGAGGAATTTTGTTCCAGCAGGTGTATGAGAGAGCCCTCTTTCTGAGATATTGGTGGTGGGGGAGAGTCAGACAGCTGCTGTCTTTGCCTCGCTGAGCTAGCAGGTTTTCACCCCAGCACCTGGCTCTTGGGTCTTGATTGGTAAAATAAAAAGGTAGACACTTAGTGAAAACAACTTTTGCCTCCCTGCATAGAAGCGGCTGAGACTGCAGCTGAGGGGTGTGAAGCCTCTCCCAGGCTGCAGCTGAGGGGTGTGAAGCCTCTCCCAGGCTGCAGCTGAGGGGCGTGAAGCCTCTCCCAGGCTGCAGCCTTGGCAGTAATGCTGCAGTGGCTGTGCAGGTGCAGTCAGCAGCTGAGGCAGCAATAGGATCAGCCTCTGGGCTGCAGGTAAAAAGCATATCCCTCTGTCACTGGCTATTTCTTTTCTAAGAAACTGTCCAAAGTCGTCTTCTAGCTCTTTCAAACTCACAGTACATTATCATTGCCTACACTTACCATGGGATACACTTCTTGCTTCTGTGTGGTGGTGACTTAGCACACACGCCAACCTCTCCCGTTTCTCCTTTCCTACAAGTTCTGGAACTCTAGTAACTGTCATTCGGTTCTCAACTTTTATGAGAACAATGTTTCTTTAGATATCATGGATAAGATGATGTGATGTTTGTCCTTCTGTGTCTGGTTTAGTAGGATTCTAGTCATGCTACGGAGAGTGACAAGGTTTTATTCTTTTTTTGGTCAAGTAGTATTCCCTTGTTCACATACTATGCTGTCTCTATCCACTCGGGAGTTATGATGCCTAGATCTCACGTAATGGCTGTTGTAGATACTGCTGAATGAACAAGGGAGTGCACATAGCTCCTGAACCCACTGATTTCATTTGCTTTGAAGTCTGAGGTAGGACTACTGGATTATATATAGTTAAACATTTTTAATATTTTGAGAAATGTACATAACATTCTTCCTAGTGACAAAACTAAATGACATCCCCACCATTAGTTTTTAAGGGTCCCCTTTCTTTACAACCTTGCTAAACTTTAATCCTTTGTGTTGTTTTATTTTAAGTGTGTGTGTGTGTGTGTGCGCGCGCGCGCGTGCGCGCATGTGCATGTGTGTGATAGTGAACTCACAAAAAACCCAGAGATTTGTAAGACAGTTTAAAAGTCCAACCCAGGAAGCCTAAAAGAATGGAAACCATGGGAGGCTGAGAGACTGAGGCTACATGGAGAAGGGAAAAGTTGCCTCAGGCAAACTTTCTCAAAGACGTCCTTTAAGAGGTTGTGGGCTGAGAACCTTCTAGATTGGACAGTAAAAATAATCTCATATTAAACAACCAGGTTAACCTCAAAACAGATAGGGCATAAACCAAAGACATGGCCCAGCCACACTACCCAGAACCCTGAGAATTTACTTTCTTCCAAATCTGATGCTTTTGAAATAAGTTTTGTTACTAATTGTTTTCATTTAACTGGTCCACAGGCATGCCATTCTGAAGATTAGTGGGATCGTGTATACTCATCACACACATTTATTGGGTAATGCTTATACCACTTCCTGGTGGTGGAAGTACTCCGGAGCTGAAGACAGACAGGAGCCAGGTCTTCGGGGCCTCTTTTGCCTCGAGAGTGGCAGAGTTTGAAAGAGCTTCTTCCTGTCAAGCGATTGACAGTCAAAGCCCAGAACATGCCAAAAGTGAGACCCTGGTGGCTCAGTCCCCCCAAGGTAAAACTGATGTAAGGCTGTGTTGAGTGTAAAGCAACCCCCAAAAACCTGGTGTTGAGTCCCTTGGTTGGCCCACAGTCACCTTATAGAGCTAGTCATACGAGTGGCTGGCAGAAGTTAGTAAAATATTTAATTAATTCAAATCCCATGTAAAAATAATATATTTTAATTAGTTAATTAATTTTAATAAGCCTATATGCAGTATTTCCAGGTAGTCTCCCATCCAAGTACTAACCAGGCTTGATCCTGTTTAGTTTCTGAAATCAGATGAGATCAGTCTTGCTCAGGCTAGTTATGGCTGTAGACAATAATTTTTTAAAAAGACTAGAAGTAAGTTTTTAACCCAGAAAAACAAGCCCAAGATAAAAATAGAGAAGAGAATGAAAACAGAAGGTGATTTCAGTATTACACTAGGAATTTAGTGGACCACTAGAAAGAGGCACAATAATTAAAATATTTAAAAGTCATTATTTTTAGACACACTATGGATTAGATATTATTATATTCATAAAACAGCTCCCATTCCAAAATTTAAATTGGAGGTCAGGCATATACCTGTGATAGAGACAATGGGAATATTGAGGTAGAAAGATGGCAACATCAAGGCCAGCCTGGGCTACAGATCTGTAGTGATATTTTGTGTTTTAATAAATAAAGCTTGTCTGAAGATCAGAGTGCAGAGCTAAGCCACTAAAGGCCAGGGAGTGGTGGCACACTCCTTTAATCTCAGAATTCAAGCTACTTGAGATGGAATCGGTCTAAAAGGAGAGACAGAACTCACACAAAGATGCTCCCAGCACTCAGGAGTCATGTGCCTTTAATGTCAGCCCCAGGGAGGTGGAGACAGGAGTAAATACAGAGAGGAATATGAGGAGGAGACAAGAGCTCAGTACAGTCTGAGGTTTGGTGGCAAGCATTGCAGTCTGCAGTCATGCTGAGGACAAAGTCGACCATTTGTTTGTCTGAGCCTTGGTAGAGGTAAGAACCCTCTAATAGCTTGGCTGCTTTGCTTCTGTGATCTTCAGCTTGAACCCCAATATTTGTCTCGGGGCTTTTATTATTCATGCTACACAGATCCTGCCTCAAAAAGCAATAGAAAAAAATTAAAAATAGGCAAAATATTACAAGTCCATTGGAAAATGTAAATTTATATATTTAAGAATTACTGCCAGGTGTGGTGGCAAACAACTGTAATCCCAGCACTCAGGAGAATGAGACAACTGGTGTAAATTCCAGGCAAGATCTCGTCTCCAAAAAAACTGAAAGTTAGCAGTGTTTGGTTGGAAGCGTCGCCTCAGCCCCTAGCATCCTTATCCCAAAAAAGTCTGAATGTTTGATTGGAAGTGTCACCCCAGGTCCTGGCATCCATTTTGGAATGTTGGGTGGAAAGTTCCATTTCAAGCCCTCTCCATTCCCTGAGAGTTGCCTCCGTCCAAACTCCACCTCCAAGAAAGCCTGCCAAATGGTGACCCCTCCCCAGAGAGGGTGCAGACCACTCCCATAGGCTATTTAAACTGCCCCCCAGAGAACAAACACGTGGTCTTTCCAGTTCTCTGTCCCCCCCCCCCTCCGGGAGCGCTGGCATCCATTAAAACTGGGCTTCTTTTAATTTGGTTTGATTTGGTCTGATTTGAATTGTGTTGGCAGTGAGGTTTGTTGGGCTGAAAAAACAACCAGGGCATGGTAGTATGTGCCTGTATTTCCAGTGCTTGGGATGCTGAGGCAGGAGAATATCTATGAATTAGAAACCAGCCTGAGCTACATAGCAAGCAAGCTCCAGGCCAGAACACCAGCCAAGGCTACCTAGTAACTCTGCCTCAGCAGCAACAACAAAACCAAGTAACAATAACAAAAGCCACCAACACTTAGCTGGATGTGGGGCTGTGTGACTTTAATCCCAGCAAACAGGAGGCAGAGACGTGGGGATTTCAGAGTTTGAGGCCAGCATGATCAACATTGAGTTCTCATGGTACCAGGGACACAACATATCAAAACAAAAAGCAACCTTGGTTTCAAACTCACTACGTAACGTAATCGAAGCTGGCCCTAAAACCCCTTATTCTCCTGTCTCTACCTCCTGAGTGCTGGGATTTCAGGCATGCATTGCAGGCCTGGCTAAAGCAGCACTTTTAAATTGGTGGCTATTAAGTGTAAGTAGATTGTGTTCCAGTGACGACAAGATGATCTTTGCTCCATCCAGTCCCAGCCAAGTCGCGTTGCCCAGACTCTACACCTGGGAAGCTCTAAGGAGCTCTCACACTACAGCAGAGGGTCAAGTGCAGGCTGAGTTCGTCAAGGAGAACACGGTCTGCGATGGCCTCTGGGAAATGTAGTACTGAGCTGGGTCATTTGAGGCGATCCTTGCTGTATTCCTGTAAAGATCTCCACCCCACGGCAGATCTGAAACACCTTAAAAGTTTCAGAGGATCCCAGGCCCGAATCTGTGGGAAGTTCCTCCTTAGAAGACTAATTGTCCGTTCTCTCCCGGAGCGTTCCAACATTCTCTGCTTCCACTCTCCGGCATTGAAACTCTCCCAGGGAGTCTAGAGAAGCACGGCCTGCTGGGAAATGTAGTCCACTTTAAAAGCTGAGACACATGGCGGAAGTGGCTGGAGAGAGGTTGTTCCGGATCATCTCAGTGTCCTACCCGACCTAACCGGGTACTGCTCTGGTTGGTATCCGCTGGTCCTTGGAATTCGTAGCCCGTGGGGTCCCAGTTGAGGTGAGTCTGGCTCTGGTTCTATGCATTTTGGGTATGGGGCCTTCCGGTCTTTATTTGTTGGTTGCCGGCTGCCGGCTGCCGGCTGGCTCTAGGGGACCCACCCGGTTTCCGGGATGGCGTTGGGGGTGAAAAGATCTCCGCAGGGACTACGGCGAGGCAAGTGCGACTCCACAGGCGAGAAGGCTTTCGGAGGGTGTGGATTGTACGGAAGGATGAGAGCGAGCGTGCGCGAGGTCGTCAGAACATGGGTGATAAGTGTTACCGGATCCTCTAGTCTTCCACCGCTAAGTGGGGGAAAAATACCTCTATTCCTTCCTGGATGTCAAGTTTACTTGAAAAATTGAAAAAAAGAAAGCCAAATAATAGAGATGATAAGGATATCTGTACCCAAGATAGATCGATTTACCGGTCACCGTGACTTTTAAATATAGTCAGAAGTCAGACGGGGTGACCCACATCTGTAATCTCAGCACTCTGGCCGCGAAAGCTGGAAGACAGTTATTGCTCCATAGTGGGTTCCAGGCCGTCGTGAAATCCTGTCTCAGAAATGTATGAGGGTGGAGAAATTATTTTTGAAAAAACGTGCCACTGTGGGGCTCCTATTTTTGTGTCACATCCTCAGTTAGCCTTGTTTAGGGACAAACAACAGATTTGAAAAGTCTGTAAGGCTCTGTTGACTGCGACTGGAGAAGTCAGAGTTTGGAGTTCAAGATAAGCCTTTAGGACAGGAGACACACCTGCACACACTGGCTCTCAGTCGTTTCCCATCCCCACCCTCTCCAGTTTATAGTTAAAACCTGGCCGTCAATGTGGTGGATTTAGGAGGTGGGGACTTTTTGAAGGTAATTACATGGGATTAGTGCCTTGACTCCCTAAAACTGCTTGTCCCCTAGATGAGAATACAGAGCAGTCTCCTTCTGTGGACCAGGAAATAGGTTTGCACTAGACACCAAACCTGTCAGTGCTGAGATGGGGACTTCTCTGCCTCCGTAACTGAGAACAAGTTTGCTGTCTCTAAGCTACCTAGTCCAAGATATTTTGTTATAGCAGCTTAAACAGACTAAAATGGAATTTATTCTGCACCTGACCAGTTCCTGCAGAAATTTTCGGCGTTCTTCGAATGTACCTTGCTTTGTGTTTATGATTTCCAGAGAGGATATCAAGTTCCTCTTTTTTATTTGCATGAGGTGGAGGAAATCAATTCCCAGCACTCACATGGCAGCTCATAACCACCCATACTTCAGTTCCGGGGGATCAGTTCTCTTTTCTGACCTCTTAAAGCACCAGGTGTACACATGGTATGCAGACACATATGCAAGCAAAACACCAATAAACATAAAATAAATTAATCTTTTAAAAACAATTCTGATCATAAACTCTAAGGCAATTTTTTGGGGGGTTGAAGAAAGGGGAACAAACAGCACTAGTGTTGGGGAAACTCATATTACCCGCAGAAAAGCCCGAGCAGGCATTTTATTGGGTACTTGAAGGGGCCTTGGACATTATAGACATAGCAGAATTAAAAATTTAAAGACTGAACATAGTGGTACACACCTTTAATCCCAGTACTCAGGAGTGAGAGGCAGTTAGATCCCTGTGAGTTTAAGGTCATCTTGGTCTACATTTTGAGTTTCAGGCCAGCCAGGGCTACACAGTGGGACCTTGTTTTAGAAAAAGAGAGAGAGAGGAGAAAGTTCATTAAAGGAGCCAGAAAAAAGAAAGGAGAGAGAGAAAGCTAAAGGAGTCAGGCATGGGGCAGGCAGAGGCAGGCAGATCTCTGAGCTGAAGACCAGCCTGGTCTACTTAGACCCCATCATTTAAAAAAAGAAAAAAGAAAATGTCTACATGTCCATAAGAAGTTTTTTCTATGCATGCTATACATCAATGGCATTTATCCTTGGGAATCTTCTGGGACACTGATGCTGTAGCTTGTGGATTCTACCCTTGTGATAAGGGCATATGGGAATTGTGTAGATGGAAGCTTCTGTCCCGCCTGGTCCTGCAGTTGTTCAGTCCCAAAGAAACACACAGAGGCTTATTTGAATTATAAACTGTTTGGCTTGTTAGCTCAGGCTTATTATTGACTAGCTCTTACAACTTAAATTAACCCATAATTCTTGTTTATTTTTAGCCACATGGCTTGGTACCTTTTCTCAGTAAGGCAATCTCATCTTGCTTCCTCTGTGTCTGGCTGGTGACTGACTCTCTGCCTTTCCTCTTCCCAGAATTCTCCTATTCTGGCCATTGTGCCTATACTTGCTGCCTGGCTACTGGCCAATCATCGTTTTATTAAACTAATTCACGTGATGATTCTTTACAGTGTACAAGAGCATTATTCCACATCACAATGGCACATTCCTTACCCTATTAATGGGGTGGGAAGGACTTCCTATGTGGGTCACAGGCCTTACAAATGGGAGGAATGAGAACCTGTCACCGTCCCTACGAGTGTCCCTCAGTAGCATTTCAGTCTCGATTGTGACTTTTTTGGTCATGGGATGTTTGACCTAGTTTCTCACTCTCTCTTCATTTCCCGTTCTGCCATTTCCCAGAGTGCCCCCGAGAGTAGAGAAGCATGGCTATTGTGGATGTCAACACTGTGTTCAAGGTGAGTGGGATTGCTTCTGTCACCTGTCTTCTGGCTGCTGATTCCGAAAATGGAATTGTCACCTGTTGTCATGGTAACCATGTGAGGTTGAGCTTTGCCAGTGTGATTCTGTTTTCTTCAGTATATGAGAACTGCAGGAGGCTGTATGGGGTTTTTTGTTTTTGTTTTGTTTTTCTTTTTTCATTCAAGCATCTTCTGGCCATGTGAGGAATATCAATACCTTTGGATTCATGAGTTTACTTCATTTTTTTCTGTTCCTCAATTTCCTAATCAAAAAGTGGAGGAAATAACAGCACTTACTTTGGATTCGTTCTGACTGAATTAATAGGCATTTGGTTGTTAACAGGTACTGACACATAGAATATACCAAATGAGATCATGACTGGATCGCGTGCTCAGTTGCCTGAGAGTCAGGAAAAAGGGAAATATAAAGTTATTCAGGATTGCTGCAAGAGCAAGCCCACCCTAGGCCACCCAGTAAGTTCCAAGCTCACTACTTGAGGTCCTGTCTAAAAAAAAAGAAAAAAAAAGGGCTGGAGAGATGGCTCAGAGGTTAAGAGCATTGCCTGCTCTTCCAAAGGTCCTGAGTTCAATTCCCAGCAACCACATGGTGGCTCACAACTATCTGTAATGGGGTCTGGTGTCCTCTTCTGGCCTGCAGGCAGACACACAAACAGAATATTGTGTACATAATAAATAAATAAATATTAAAAAAGGAGAAATATCTGCAAAGAAAAGTGTTGGTATATGTTTGCAAATAAAGGAAAACACTTTTGCTTTTAAATATGCAGTCTTTATATTTTTACTTTGGTTACTTATTTAATGGGACAATCTTATTATGTAGTAATTTTTTTTAACAGGGTCTCATGTAGCTCAGGCTGCTTTGAGCTTGGTTTAGAGCCAAGGATGATCTTGAGCTCGTGAGCTTTCTGCTCCCACGTCATTTATTGGTTGCACATCCTTTGATAACCCCCCAGAACAGGTGTATAATTTATTCCTTATTTTTTTATTCATTAATCCCATTAGAAATCCATTGTCTTTTCTGTTCTGCTTAATAACTTTCCACCTAGAAAATCAAAAATACTTCTTTTAAAATTCATTTATTATTTTTTTAATTTTAAAAACTTTTCTAGACAGGGTTTCTCTATGTAAAACAGCCGAAGCTGTCCTGGAACTCACTCTGTTGACCAGGCTAGCCTTGAACTCACAGATCCACTGCCTCTGCCTCCCGAGCGCTGGGATTAAAGGTGAGCGCCACTGTCACCGTGCCCGGCCTGTTTCCCTTTTCTAAATCATCTCTTTTGACCTCAGTGTACACACATAGGAATTTTAAAAATTAAAATAGATAAAGAATAAGTAACACTGCAAAGACCAGAGAAGTTGATTTTGTGGCCGCACAGAGATAAAGGCGCCATAGGGGACCTTTAAAGATGCGCTAAGACTATCTTTGAGGCACTGAGCTTTTAGGGCTAACTCTGGGAAGGATGGACAGGTCTGGGAAGGTGAGGCAGGTCTGCATAATTAAGTAATCCTGATGGAGGTGTGGTCTGATTAGTCCCCGTCCTGTCCCTTCCTGCGAGCTGGTGGGCAGAAGTCCTGGGGTCCTAGGAGACAGATTTACTCTCAGCAGACGGTTACTTTTGCGCCTGATTGGGCCTTGG